GTCATTTTCTCATAGACTTCTATACAACCAGAGGAGTCGCCCCCTGGGTTGGAGGCAGTAACACCAGCAGAAGGCATGAGGGAGGAACATGCCTCTATAGCTAGTTAACATGATTAAAACATGTCTAACTTATGATGAAGAACAAACCTCAAGGATCCACATGATCTGTGGTGTAATGCAAACTTAGCATGTTAGAGATCACACGTCACACGCTAGTCACAGAAAAATAGAGAATAAAATATACAGAATAGCTGAAACGTTGTTGTATTTTATCACATGAAATTCAAATTTCAGTCCTAAAAATAGAAATCAGAAACACTTAAGTTGGATGTGTTGTTGACATGATGTAACAGGATCATTAAACAAAAACAAGATAAACCGTCTCATCTGAAAACATAAAGAAACACGTTTGATCGTTTGACTGCGATGTTTTATTTTCGGTCTCTGTCGTTAGAGACTCGTCTTCTTTCTTTTGTTCTCATCACTTTTCTCTTGTTGCTGTTGTGCAGCAGACGCTGAACAGGATCAATAGAGTTCCATCTGTTCCTCAGAGAGACGCACTTCTGTCTGTTGTCTCTCCGTCTCTGTCGACAGCAATACTTCTGTCCTACCGGTTTATTATTATGAGAATTTAATTAAAGTTGAACAAAATATATTTCAGCATTTGGTGCAAAATGGTGGCTCGCTGGCCAGTAACCAAATCATCAGTGTAGAGGAAGAAGAGGGGTTCTTCCTCTAAGTGATGGTCCATTTAGAGTCAAACAGACCATAAAGCAGGGGATGCTTTAGGGCGGGGCTACACAGTGATTGACAGGTCTCTACCAGAGACGTATACAAAGTCTCTACATTTTGATAAAAACATAAACTACAATGTATTTTTTTCAGTTATTGTAATAAATATTGTATTCTTTTATGTCACATCTTCTTATGACTTATAACTGCATCGAATCTTAATTTATTCCAATTAAAATGTGACTAAAAAGGGCAACCGTGCTTTCAGTTTCGGCAACCAAACTGTGATGTCACTTTTGAAAGTTGATCTCTGGGCCGGTCGGATCCTTGACTTCCTGTCCAACAGAAAAGAGGGAGCCGGTGAATGATCCTCGTCCTCTAAACACTATTATTCATATTCTGTATACAGACGACAGCTGATGACTCAGCTGTCGTCAGGGCTCCTGTGGATGATTTTTCACTTTTTTAAATCGCTGCAAAAACTCCTTAAACTCAATTTGTCAAAAAATCAACTCCAACAGTCAAACCTCAGACGCCATCTTCCTCCCACTCAGAGCATCATTACTGAGGGCCAAGAGGTGGAATCTGGTGCTCGCTGTAAGAACCCTCGATAACAAGCTCACTCTTCAATTTAACCCTTGAATGTCTGGTACGAGAGGTCTACGGAAACACACCGTGTTCCTACAAATCATTTCTCCTCATCTGTGGGCCGACCGTCTGACTATCAGAGAGGAGCCTGCTGAGACGGTGAAGACCAACAGTCCAGCAGAGTCTCTTCTGTACAACAGTCGGGTTGGTGAAGAAGGCGAATTGCATCCTGTCTCACTTCCTCTTCATCACTTTTAACCCGGGCCCTTCAGATTCCCTTCAGTCGAGATGAACCGATCGAGCTCTGGTTCCTCCTGCAGGCAGAGGGAAGGAGGTAGTTCACCCGTCAGGAGGATCAGACCTGATGTTCACGCTGATCTCTGGTCACGTGGTCTTCTGCTGAACCTGGTCGTACGTGTATGAAGGTGGATGACACTCATCATGTGCTGCTGTTCAGTTGATCGTGCTGGTTCACTGAGTAAGTTACATGTTCCAAAGGTCTTTAAGTTCCGCCACTAATTAAGAACGTCACACCGACGGGATGATGTTGTGGC